TTTTGAGATGGAGTTTTGCTCTTGTTGCCCAGGCTGGAGTACAGTAGAGCAATCTTGGCTCACTGCAACCTCCGCCTCCTGGGTTCAAATGATTCTTCTGCCTCAGTCTCTCAAGTAGCTGGGATTACAGGCACACGCCACCATGCCCGGCTAATATTTTGTACTTTCAGTAGAGATGGTGTTTCACCATGTCGGCCAGGCTGGTCTCAAACTCAGCTAATTTTTTTGTGCTTTTAGTAGAGATGGCGTATCACCATGTCGGCCAGGCTGGTCCCAAACTCCTGACCTCAGGTGATCCACCTGCCTCGGCCTCCCAGTGTGCTGGGATTACAGGTGTGAGCCACTGCACCCATCTTAAATTTCACTTTTAACTTTTCATTAAAAAAAAATCAAGGCACAATTGTGGAAAAGTAGGTAAAAGGTTAGCAATTTAAAAGATAATAGATACTCACTTTGACTCCATTTCTCTCAATTTAGATCCAGCTGTGAGTTGCATGTTCTTTCTCTGCCAGTTTAAATCCTGAATATGTTTTCTGTAAAAAATTATTTACACAACCCTATTACATTTTAAACTAAGACCTAAATCAACAGAAAACTCTAACGTAAGAAAATACCTTAATCCCACGAGAACAATATTATGTACAGTTACAGGCTAACTGTAGAAATTACCTTTTTTTCTTTTTGAGATCGAGTTTTGCTCTTGTTGCCCAGGAGGGAGTGCAATGGCACGATCTCAGCTCACCACAACCTCTGCCTCCCTGGTTCAAGCGATTCTCCTGCCTCAGTCTCCCGAGTAGCTGGGATTACAGTCATCCACCACCACGCCTGGCTAATTTTGTATTTTTAAGTAGAGATGGGGTTTCTCCATGTGGTCAGGCTGGTCTTGAACTCCTGACCTCAGGTGATCCGTTTGCCTCGGCCTCCCAAAGTGCTGGGATTACAGGCGTGAGCCACCATGCCTGGAGACATTACTTTTCTTCTAATGATTTTTTTTATTACAAGTTTTGTAAAACGTGCTCATTGTGAGAAATCTCACACACACACGAGTACACGCAGATTACAATTCTCAAGTCCCTCCTTCCACGCATGTCTCCTTTTTCCTGATAACTGCTGTTGAGTTTTTGGTGGGTGTCCTTTCCTATATGTGTGTGAAGAAATTGTTTTTTGTTTTTTTTTTTGAGACGGAGTTTCGCTGTTGTTGCCCAGACTGGAGTGCAACGGCACGATCTCGGCTCACCGCAACCTCCGCCTCCTGGGTTCAAGCAATTCTCCTGCCTCAGCCTCCCGAGTAGCTGGGACTACAGGCACGCACCATCATGCCCAGCTATTTTTTGTATTTTTAGTAGAGACGAGGTTTCACCTTGTTGACCAGGATGGTCTCGATCTCTTGACCTCGTGATCCACCTGCCTCAGCCTCCCAAAGTGCTGGGATTATAGGCTTGAGCCACCGCGCCCGGCAGAAATTGGTTTTAAAAATCAGATTATATGTGTTATTCTGCAACTTTTTCCCTCTTAAAAGTGTCTGTCTGCAGACTTACAAATGGCAAGTGATAGAGATGTTTTCAGACCTCGGGCCTATTTCTCCTCTACTAAGGTAGGGCAAGTCCATTGCCAAATGTTGAACAAAGAGAGTAGATCAATTGTTATGCTTTTATCTGACTGCAGTTTCATTGCTTTTCCTCCTATTCTGTTTATTAAAGGTTCACTTAAACTTTACTCTGAAATAGGAAAAAACAATTTACCTTAACTTCTGAAGTTCTTTCTGTGCGTGTTCAATCATATGAACTAGATTTCTGAAAAGAGGAAAATCAGATTAAAATACATTAAAATCTAACAGTATCAATTAAAAGTGAACTTTTTCAAGTTTTTCTGCTAAAAATTGTATTTATGGAGCTCTGTGCCAAGAAATATGTTGGACGCTCCATAATTGAGCACTGTCACCCATGCTGGAATGCAATGGTGTGATCATGGCTCACTGCAGCCTTCACCTCCCAACCTCAAGTAATCCTCCTGCCTTAGCCTCCCAAGGAGCTGCAATCCTCTCTCCTCGGCCTCCCAAATTGCTAGGATTACAGACATAAGCCACCATGCCCTGCTTGATACTTTGAGTACTTGGGTCACTTTTATTATTATTTTTTTTTGAGACAAGAGTCTCGCTCTGTTGCCCAGGCTGGAATGCAGTGGTGTGATCTCAGCTCACCGGAAGCCTCTGCCTCCTGCTCAAGTGATTCTCCTGCCTCAGCCTCCCAAGTACCTGGGATTACAGGTGCATATTGTCATGCTTTGCTAATTTTTGCATTTTTTCAGTAGAGATGGGGTTTCACTTATGTTGGCCAGGCTGGTCTTGAACTCTTGACTTCAAGGGATCCATCCGCCTCGGCCTCCCGAAGTGGTGGGATTATAGGTGTGAGCCACTGCACCTGGCTTTATTTCTTGAGACAGAGTCTTGCTCTGTCACCCAAGCTGGAATGTGGTGGCACAATCATAGCAGCCTCACCCTCCCGGGCTCAATCAATCCTCCCACTTCAGGCCTTCAGAGTAGCCTGGATTACAGGCATAAGCCACTATGTCTGAATAATTTTTCTATTTTTTTTTTTTCTTAGAGACAGGGTTTCACCATGTTACCCAGGTTGGTCTTGAACTCCTGGGCTCAAGCAATCTGCCCACCTTGGCCTCCCCTCCAAGTGTTGGAATTACATGTGTGAGCCACCAAGCATGGCCTTTTGTCACTTCTGAAACTGTCATTACTTTTTGTCATAGAGAAGATGGAATATATCTGAGTATACTCATTTTCTCAACCTCCTTTTATCACTGAATTTTTGTATATACATTTATCTTGTTATTCTCTCCTCCTGTCTACTGCTAACTAGAGAGAGGTGAGAAAAAGAAAACTGTTGTAGAAGGCTAGAGATTGAGGTATCAGTCTGTATTTACATGTGACCTACACACACGGTAATGAAAAACAGACACCAGTCCAGGTCAGCTTTAGCACAGGGGAAAAGTTCAAAAATACAGAGTACCATATGATTATTATCATTAGAGAATAAAACAACAGATTTTAATCTCTTTTTTAAGTTTAAATAACAGCTTTATTGAGATATAATTCTACATCATATCAATTTCCTCTTCGGGCAGTGGATCAATCACCGACAGGGTCTATTTCAACCCCATCTGGCTCTACTGTGTTCTTGCTCTAGATCTAATTTTGTTCCCTGGCTTTCATGACTCAAATTTTCTGCTGCTCACCTGAGTTATTCTCTTACCTCTACTGTCTGATTTCCTTGCACTAGCTGCAATTCTCTCAAGATTCAGTCTTTAAGCAGCCGTGCCTTTCTAGGCTTTCCCTCAGGTCATCCCCTTTCCTAGGCTTCAACAGTCACTCCACCCTGAGGACTACTGATTTTAGTGCTCTATTCCAGACTGCTAACCACCAACAGAGAAGGCTTTCCTTTGAATTAGCTCTCCCTGAAAGTTTAGTTTGTCTTCTCCCTTCTCCCACCCTTCCTCTTAAATATACTTTGATAAAATATAGTACACCTCCTCTGGAGAAGTGCCCACTGGATTTGGAGGAGAAGACAAAATATGCTCAGGGAAGTGTTCAACACTATAAAGCACTTTGTGATCAAATGGAAAACAAGGGATGTGCATAATTATTCTGTGTATAGTTACTCAGAAGAGGGAGATAATACTAGAAGCAGAATTTCAATCAGGGAAGAAGACAAGTAAGCAAATTAGAGCTGATCCCTAAACAAGCTGAATTTGGGTAGAACAGGTAAAGGCAAGCGCAAGTAAAGGCCCAGAGTCAGGATTTATGATAATCACCAGAGAGAGGACTAGTTTGGGTTCAGTTAAAAGGCTACAGTTGAGGTAGTAAGGAAAAGGCCTTGAGTAAGCCTGGCCCGACTAGATGCTCACACTCGTAATCCCAGCACTTTGAGAGCCTGACACTGGATGATCACCTGAAGCCAGGAGTTCTAGACCAGCCTGGCCAACTTGGTGAAACTCTGTCTCTACAAAAAATAGCCAAGTGTGGTGGTACGCATCTATAATCCCACCTACTCTGGAGGCTAAGGCAGGAGAATTGCTTGAACCTGGGAGGGCTACAGTGAGCTAAGACTGTGGCACTGCATTCCAGCTTGGGTGACAGAACAAGATTCTGTCTTTAAAAAAAAAAAAGCTTGGCCCTTACCTTGCAGGTAATAGGGCATTACTAAAGGTTTTCAGGTAAGTTGACAGCAATGTTCTTTTCAATGTAATATTTTTTCCCCTATATCTATGCTCTCCATTCCTGGAATGTTTTCCTTGTTTCCTTCTAAACGTCCCAATTTCACCCGTCTTCAACAACCCTCATTCTTAATGTCCCATCTCTCTCTTTTTTGAGACAGACTACAGGTATGTACCACTATACTTGGCTATTTTTTAAAATTGTTTTCTTTTTTGTAGAGACAGGGTTTCACTATGCTGCCCAGGCTGGTCTCAAACTCTTGGCCTCAAGTGATCTTCCTGCCTCACCCTCCCAAAACACTAGGATTACAGGCATGAACCACCATACCTGGCAACGCACCATCGCTTAACAACTTAGTTGACAGACTACAGCACACAATGTAGTACTTGCTTCCATATGCCAAAAAATGGACTACTGGTTACTTAGCATAAAACTTCTTATCTTTGCCATTAGACAAAGCTTCTTGAGAAGAATCACATTTTTCCATTTTGTGAAACAGATTTTTTTACTAATGTCTCTTAAATTTCTTAAATCACTCTAATTCCATTCTTTCTTTTTTTCCCTCTTGCTACACACACACACACATACATACATAAAACAAATAAACAAACAAACAAAAAAACAAAGTTAGTTGTAGGCTTTGTAGAGTTTCCCAAATTCTGGATTTTGTCCACTGGACCATTATGTGACTACAAATATTTAACGCATAATTCTGAAGATTTGAGAAATAGTATTTACCATTTTGTGGTTTTGCTTCATTTTATGTAGCTGTGTTTCAGGAAACACTCTAATAAAAGTTGTACATACTGTTATGAAGTTTGATGGCCTTTTCCCCTTAAATTGTTAATAAACGCTCAGGAAACTTTAGGGCTCAAAGGGGCCATGCAGATAATCTAACAACTGAATTTTATAAGCAAGGAATCCAAATTTTAGATAAGCAATAAAATACTAAAGCTAGGCCGGGCGCAGTGGCTCACGCCTGTAATTCTAGCACTTTGGGAGGCCAGGGCAGGTGGATCACTCGAGGTCGGCAGTTTGAGACCAGCCTGACGAATATGGAGAAACCGCGTCTCTACTTAAAAAATACAAAATTACCCAGGCGTGGTAGTGCATGCCTATAATCCCAGCTACTCAGGAGGCTGAGGCAGGAGAATTACTTGAACCCATGAGGCTGAGATTGCACCATTGCGCTGCAGCCTGGGCAAGAAGAATGAAACTGTCTCAAAAAAAAAAAAAAAAAAAAAAAAAAAAATCTGGGCTGCCGAGCTTGCAGTCTCAGCTGAAGATGAGGAGGTGCTTTGCCTTCTTGTTTCAGCTGTCATACAGAAATAACCAGAGGATGGAACTCAAGTTCCAAGTGTGGGATCTGTTAGTGGGGCAGTTTCAAGAAAGTTGCTTTACATTTCTCAACTTTGTTTTCTCTTTTATAAAATAAAAAAAGAAGTCTACCAGGATTCGTTTATTTTAGGATTTAAGATTTTAATCTATGTGAGAGATATGTGTAAGTGTGCACATGTATATGTACATATTTCCCCTAGGAGAAGCTGTGCAGTATTTGCTAATTCAGTGATCACAGGACTTAAAGGGCATTCCATATGACTAATGAGAATCAACTCTTTAAGCAATACTTGGTAACATTCTATCAAATGGTGCTCTGTAAATGGGACCTCAGAACTCATTTTCTTACAATATTATACTATAAATGTAGTAGTTTGGTTTAGGTCCTCTTAATACTCTTGAACTTTGAGGTGGGTTTCAAAATAGTGGCCTTCATTTGGGTTGTAGTTCTAGAACACAGTCCCAAGACAAAGTCTAGCTATATTATCATCACACTTCCCCATCCACACTTTTTTTTTTCCTTTTGGAGACAAAGTCTCACTGTCACTTGGTTGGAGTGCAGTGGTGTAATCTCGGCTCACTGCAACTTCTGCCTGCCAGGTTCAAGCAATTCTCCTGCCCCAGCCTCCTGAGTAGCTGTAACTATAGGAGCACCACCACGCATGGCTAATTTTTTTGTTTTTTTTAGTAGAGATATGGTTTCACCATGTTGGCCAGGCTGATCTCAAACTTCTGACCTCAGGTGACCTGCCTGCCTCAGCCTCCTGAAGTGCTAGGATTATAGGAGGAAGCCACTGTGCAGGCATTTTTTTTTTTTTTTTT